ATCTGACAATTACATTTATCCCGCTTCAGACTAATCGATTACTGCTTTGATAAAAGTTAATCACATGACTCCCTGAAATTTTCCGTATTACGTCTCCTTCGAGGAGTAATATGAAAATCGGACACACGATTCCGTTCGAAGCGTTGTTATTGTAAATACAAATGGAGGCAAAGAAACGCTTTATGTATACAGTAAACCTCGGTTAGTACGAACACGGATATTGCGAATTCATGGTTATAGCGAAGTTATCTTGGATTCCCAGCCATATAAATCTTAAAAAATTTCTAATACGGATATAACGAATTACGGATAAAACGAAGTAATTTCTTAGGTCCCAGTGACTTCGTTATAACCAAGTTTTACTGTAGGTAGTTAAGTTAAATTTCTTGTTACCGTAAGGATATTTTATGTGGATTGTTACTGGATTAAATTTAATATTTTCAAAATATACACAAACATTTTTTTTTTATTTTGAAAAAAGTTTTCGGCTTCGCCTCGCCCAATACAGATTTCCATTTCACACCCTGTATGAATCCGTTTTAGGTCACTAGCTGGAATTGTAATTGTAACCAAGCGGATATGGAAAACGCAGGTTCATGTTATAAATTTATTAGGAAAAGAAATAACAAGGGCAGATCTACAAATACAAAAACATATCTACAAAATCATAATACACATAGACACTGAGACAAAATTCTTTTATTTCCTATTCACTTCCAAAAAATAAGAATATTTTAGTTTACTAAGCCCAAAACGTCATTTTCATAATCTTAAAAACCTTTCTTTCAAAAATATGTAAAAATACTTGAGCTTATCATCTGAACTTAATTAATAAATAAATTTTTACACATGAATCTAAAAAATCGGAGTCTTGTTTGTTGGGTATGTAGGGAGTGAAAAGATAGTTGGAAACCTGGAAAAAATTGTATGAAGGATCACCTAACTTACAAAGGGATATAACACAGAAAAGGAATAGAAACATTCTTTTTTATTTCATTCCAAAAAACTAAAACAAAAATATTGACCTTTTTTCTTCCTTTCATCAATTGCCAAGCGTAATGGTGACTCAATCGGTCAAAATCATCTCGCTCCCTGATTGTATGTTCAATGAATCAATTGACCTTTGTCGCCATAAAGTGGCAACAACCATTCCTTAGTCAAGCAATTGCTACTTTAAAGACGTACAACACACTATGGGAGATAACTCTTGCGATTTCAATTGAACGTTTGACGTGACATCAAATTTAACGTCAAAAATAGAGCGTCAAAATGACGAGTAAAACGATCCCGATGTATATCAATCATAAACGAAAAATGGGATATTGGGCTTGGCTTTGATTATGCGTACCAATACTCAATCAATAAGTTTTTTTTTTTAATTAACCCGATTAAACTCCGTAAAAAGCCAGACGTAAAATACCATCCCTTAATGTTTATTTCATTTCATTTCATATACAATAAATTGTATTCTTGATTAAAGCGCAGCATTTTTTTTATTCTGAAAATTTTATTTTACATAGCCGAAAATATTATTATGTACAGTATTGGCTATATAACATTCCGATTAATGGTATTCATTACAATTTGTGCATTTATGATATAAATATTGTTTTTCTTCTTTTATGAAATAAAACAACAAACTTTTTACAATGTAAATTCGATGTTGTTCTCAGATTCTTACTGATCAAAGAGGAACAACTCTGAAAATGTAGGAGATGTTTATTTTCCTCCCTTTATTCACGGTTTTCCACAGAATCAGACATTTACAGCAAGACCTGATAAATCCGAGAATTGAATAGTATAGACTTCATATACACAATGTTAGTATAGAAAAAAATTGTTCAGACGTCGTGCATAGAAATGGGGGTTGAAATTGCGTAACTTGTAACACCGTAAACGACAGGCGTTGGTATTTTTGGTCATTTTTTCGTTTTGGCTACATGTTTTTTTCTGGCAATGTGTACCATGCTTCTATAACTTCCTGTGATAATGTCACACAACATTAATTAATAAATTGATAATTTACGGACTATTGCGACTGTTCGTATAATAGGAAACGTTCTGTAACATGCCGTAATTTTGACAAGTTACAAGAAAAGATGGAATGTTTGATAATTTTTTTTACTATATAACAGGTTCTCTTTGTAAAACTAAGTTGATAAGTGATATGTGCAAATCAAGAAGTAGTTAAATGTTTCTTTAAAAAATTATAAGCAAGCAGTAGGAAAGATTAGTAGAGGATTTTGATGTCAAGTCGGTTTTGTTACTACGACAAAAATGTGTGTATTAATGTATTTAACTGGGCGTATAACACCAATGTGAGCTGTATTTTCTATTTACTGGGAAAACTTTTAACAGATAAAATATTATTTTTAAAATTTGCAAATAAATAAAATTTTGTATTTAAAGAAACATTAAAAAGTAAGACATTTTTACGAAAACAGGAGCAAAAACTGAATGTCTAGTCTAATTTGTTACGCCTTGAATTTTTGACGTTTTACGCTTAAACGACATATATGCAATAACGTCAGAAAAGTAAATGTTGACGTTACAAAATCAGCCCCAATTCTGTGCGCGACGTCTTACTAGTACTGAAATCATCTGCATTTATGAATATCCTCTTGCAGCAAATCGTTTGACTTTCTCTGTCAACAATGTCGGTTCGCATTTCCTCGAATCAAATCAAAACGTATCCTATAAGATTTTAAAAATATCAATGTGCGATTTGATATAAACTGAAATATATGAAGAGTTTAATGTTTGATATATATTTTGAAGTTAATGTGGACGAATACGGATTTTTCATTCTAACTTTAGAAGCAACGAAATTGAAAGAATGCGTACAATATCATGAAGGGCGTACATCTATGCAAATGTCGATGTATCCCCACGGCCACATACTGTCTCGTTTGAAATAATGACATGAGAGAAACTACAATAATTTCCATTTATATCACAGAGAGTTGAATATACACCATTCTTAATAAATAAAATTAAAGAAATAAAATTAAAAATCAGCATATTCAAGTTCAACATAACTTGAATTCGTATCCAGGTTTCATGTGATATGGATTGCATAACGCATACATGGACTAAACAATGAACTCTTTCAGTAATTTTTTCCAGATACATATAAAAACAGTAGTCAAGATTTATTCTGCCTTCATGAATTTAAAAACTAATGTATACCTCCGGAATTCAAATGACAAAATACTAGTATATTTGCACTTTAAACGACGTTTCGTCAAACGCTGATGGTCTACGACGCAAAAAAGGGAGGGGTGGGGGTGTTAGGGGTATTCAAAAATTGCCTAAAAATCTACATTTAAATGCGCTTTACATATGAGAACTTTTAAATTTGTAAGTTAATATATTTTTAAAGCAAAAGCAATATTCCAATTAGATTTTTTTAAAACGTGTATTTGTAGATTAATAGCAAAGTGATCGACCCGCGTCTGAAAGACGCGTAGGAATGTGATTTATTGAGAAATGGGGAGGAGGTAATTTTCCGCTATTTAATCAAAACTGGTCGAACAAAAATTATACAAAAAATTATGAAGATTATTTTTACTACCAGCTACCTGAAGAAAGTTTTTTACTAAAATTGAACGACAGGTTTTTTTCACAAAATTTTTTTTTAATTTGAAAAATACACAATTTTCAAGGCTTAGATAATTCATAGTTTTTCAGTTCAAGGGCTTTAAAAATTGTTTTGATGATATGTATATAAAACAATTGACTACGTTTTTGTGTTAAATGGTTAAAGGAATAAGGCAATGAAATTTGACGTTTATATCTAACCTGGCTTTTTGAAAATCAAGGTCTAAGTGGTTCATTGATTAAAAATTTTCTCTCCTTGTAAACAACAAAAGGGGGGTAACTTTTGGAAGTTCCTGTCCAAAAACCACTCGAACAATTTTGTCCAAAATGTGCATACATGTAGTAGATATAGTCATATTCTAAATATACAAAAATAACGAAAACTAAAGGACAGGAATTTTTTTGGGTAGGTGTGTTGTACCTCCTTAAAGTGAAAGTTGCGAGTATTTCGGATGAGGCCCTAGGCCTGTACAACAGTGCAAGCGACCGTGGACATTTCCATTGAAGTTATTAGAAATGTTGGCGAGTGCTCCCAAACATTCACCCTGTTGAAAAAACCTGCGGTTCCACAACAAATCTTGGTACGAATTTCCTAGTAATGGTTTATGCTAAGAGTCCTTCACCAGAATTTGATGACGACTCTACAGAGTATAAGCGTGAAAGTATTTGAATGAGCTGGGATGTAAAACGACATTCAATCAATCATTTATTTGTAATTTGAAGGTCTACTTTAATCTACTTTTTCCTTTTCAAAAGGTTGATAATATGGATGTTTCATATTCAACTGATTTTTTCACATTTGTTTTTCATTTTGAAAAGAATGTTTTAAATAGATGTATTGATGGTGGTCCCTAGGTTTTCAAAAGATGACAGAGACAATTCGAACGTTAGATCGGTATGAAGAACCCACACATATATATGTAAAAGAAAATGTAAGCCTTTTGATAAAGTTGAGTACGCATTTTACCAATTCTCTAAAAAAATTACTTAGGAGCGTTTGGGGTTCTTGAATCTCTGGGATTTTATTGTAATCTTAAAGAAACCGGGAATGGCTATTGACCATCCCGGAGACATGGGTGCCTCGAGCTCAAAGTTTGTTTTTCGAAAAAAAAATCTTATATATATATTTTTCTTTTTTAAACGCTGTCAGTTCAATTTCAGAAACAGTATTTAATTAACTCTCCACTCGCAAACATTTCTCTAAAAAGATATAAGAAATTGATTTACTAACTGCGAATCCTATATGGACAAATGCATATAATTATATAGAAATGTAAAAAATATAGTCTATCTGCATATATTCATTAAGAGATTTATCATTCTATGAATGCTTGAAACATGTGATACTTTAATTTTAATTATGTGAAACATAATTTTAATTATGTTATTGACATACAGATTGATATATGCAGCGAGACGATGAAAACAGGAAAAGCAGTCAATTTTTGCCCAGAAGATGTAGAGTCTATGCGGCTAAGATCAAAGGAAAAAATGTGTGAAGATATGCATGATTCTTGTACCGAAGACCCGTTGGTGTATCATTGTGTGCGGTTTGGAAATAGACTCATCGAAGTGTGTGCTCCAAGGAATTTTATCACAGGTAAACACATACCGAAAACCATGTCGTATTTTTTTAATCAACGTAATTTTAAACATTTTATGTTTCTTTATTTGATATACCTAATGAACTGGTCATAAAATGAATTTTATCAGAGTATCTATGCATTTTAGGAAATCTTGGTTGGGACTTTTTATTATAATTTTTTTTTGTAGGAAACTGTTGTGTACAGTTCAACGAGGGAGTGGGTCGTATTGTAGAGGATTATAACGTACCTTGTTCAGAGTGTCCTTTTCATTACTATTCGAATGAATCATTAACATGTAAGTACGAAGTATGATTTATTTTCATTTTCAAAAAAATAAATAAATAAATAAATAAAATAAATTAAAAAAAATTAAGAGAGTAATATCAAATATCTAAATGATTAAGAATTTTCTGTCTTCAATGTCGATTTTAAGACACTTCTTTACATTGGGGATTCTTATTAACGAAAGAAAAGGGCGTTGAGTAAGCAGTAAATTATTTTATTTTAAAGATATATCACAGAGGAAAAAGAAAATTCAATAAAAACAGACTTCTTTGCTTAATTTTTATACCCCTATATAATGAAAACTACTAAATACATCTCGTGTGTTTTTTCCAGATCAAACCTGTTTTCAATCAATTAAATCAATGGCTATTCTCGAGAATTCTATCGAATCAACATTTGTGGTAACTTCCAAATCTTTAACAACTGCTGAACCCTCACCCAGATCTATGTCTTCATCTCCATCACGTAATAGAACAAAATGCAGGTCTGCATCAGGACGCCATAAACGCCAACCCAATAAAAATTGTAAAGTTTCAACAACTAATGCATATGCTATTCAATCGAATAAAACAACCAAAGCTAGCAATAACAATACAAGGTACGTTTGTTTTGTGAAATTAAGTTTAAGTTTCAAATAAATGAGAGAAGAGAACGAAACATTGTAGTACAAATAACTAATAAAACGAGAACGGCCATTACATTTTTGATATATATATTTTTTAAAATAACAGCATAATGTCTTTTTTTTGAAATAATATTCAACAGTTTTGCTAATGAAATTTTAGGGAGGGGGGGTAGTGATATAAAAAAACAATGTTTTTGTTTTTTAATATATAATATTTTAAAGATTTTACTTTAACTTGATTGAGGTTTTTGAAACGTTTCATTTATTTAGGCCTATGGGTGATGCAGATTTTACCATCATGATGGTTTTAGTTGTTGTGGCGGTGTTGATTATTATTGGAATCGGTACAGTGTTGCTAAATTTTAAAGGTATGGGCTACAAAAAAATTGATTTCAAATAATATCTGTGTATCTTAGGAGAGGAAATTAATAAGTTACAGAACTATAACTTTTTTTTTGATTTTATTTCTAGGTATTCCTAAACATAAATTGTTTTTGAAGAATTATAAAACAGATCAACCCAAGTCTGAAAGAAGCAGAGAGAGTCCCAGACGTAAAGGTAAGTCAGCATTTGGCAAAAGGAAAAGGTTTGTCTGCATTTATGTTCATAACATAAATCTGGCACCCATCAAAATAATATACAGGCGGCTCTTGTGGCCTTTATGACTAAAATCAAAGGAGAATCAATTGCATCACCAGGAAAGCTATCTTGCTTGCGATGCAAGAGGGTTTGTCAAATTTCCACATTGAAAGAGAGCTTTATCCCAAAAGTTTATTTGGGGGCTCTCTGAATGTCAAGGCCTTTTTGTTAACGACAACCTTAATGGACAGAACGTCATTGCCATTAAGCTTCCAGAATCTAGAAACAAAAGACCGAATTCAAAACGCCCCGATTTCTTTTTTTTTGTTAAATAATATCCCATATACTCATCATGGTTAAAAAGTTTACTTAATTTGCATGAAATCGGGGAGATTCTTTAGAATCATTATTTAAAGCTAGCACACTATTAAATCACCAAAGTTCTGTATTCAATTTTCACTGCCCTTTTATTTTGATTCTAGAGGTCATTCTATATTGTTTATGTGTTTGGTATTTAAAAAAAAAGAATGTACACTTTATAAAATTAATATCAACATTTTTGCTAAAGTTTAAATAGATTTTGAAAATAAATAGCGTGTTACTTTTCAACTGATGAAGCCATTTACATGTATTTACAGACAACTATTACATACCAGCAAGGAACGACGAACCAGAGTAAAGTCCAACTTAAAAAGTTCTGCAATTTAAAAATAATATGTAAAAATAATGTGGTGGATGTAGAATCTGGAATTGTTGATATCATGGGACGTCTTTTAACATCCAATGCTGCAAAAAGCCAAAAGCTTGGAACCCCAAGTTTTATTTTTAATTTCATTTTTACAACCCATAATGAAGCAATAATTATATTTATAAGGTTTTTTTTTACTTTAAAACATGTACATTATACATAAAAGTACAAGGGACAAATATTTTTTTATTAATATCTGTTTCTTATCAACACCTAATATAGACTTTGCTATCGACATTTAGTCTTAACAAGCGTGATTCCTATAGCATTGTTTTCTTACTCTTCGTGTTAACAAGGTATTATTATACAGTTATGGACTTCAGTGTAGGTCGATATTTGGTTATAAGGACTCCTGGCAATTGATATTGACCAAAGACACAGAGGTTGATAGCGACCGAGCCTGTGAGGTCCCTATGATTTTCTGTGTCTGAGGTCAATATGAATTGCCAGAGTCCTTATAACCACATATTGACCGTTCACTGAAGACCATAAAAGTTATATTATATAATCTCTCAAAGTTAATAAACTAACACAGCACTTACACGTACTAAACAGACTTGGCTTGGCTGTAATTACGTTACAGTGTTAAAAACACGCTTCTCATACTATGTCGCCACATTTAACGTAACTTCAGTGCAACCGAACCCTGTGTCGTGCGTTATCATTTTCCGCCCAGGCACTTTCGCATCGTTATCACAAAAGGAGGAATATCATGTGACGTCCCTTCAGCCGATGAAAATAACGAAAATAATCTTCTTATAAATATATACTTGTCAAAATTTCTAAGTCCCCACTTTTAGGTTTTCCAAAAGTTCAAAACCTTAATTTCAATGTATTAGTTACTTAGGATTTTGCCTTTAATTTGCAATACTCACCTGTCAATGCCAAAAAAAATTTAATCGAATGTGAAATAACTCGACCGTGACCGTTTTTGTTAAAAAGCATGAAGTTCGAGTTCCATATGTTTTTTTAGGGTGTATTCTTCATATTTATTACTTCCATGTGTTCTCCATCTTTAATTGATAACGAAAAACAGAAAAAAAGTTTGATTAAAATGCGGTGTTTGTCCACACATCAATGTAAAAGTAAAGTTGAAATGACCAAAGCTGGTCGTAGTTAACGAGAGTTCTGTTTCCTTTCACTGTATGACTTTATTTTACTTAAAACCTTTATAATTATCGCCCCAAAAACCTACAAAACATACCTGAATTCCTTCTAATCATTAGAAATCGCTAGTTTTCAACAAACACAACAAAATCATCCTAGAGTTTTACCCGGAAAAATAAATGGAACAGGAACCGGAATTGCCCTCCCCTCAATGTCAAACTGGAGGAGTGGGGTACACATGTAATAAGACATTATTAACTTTTGTTAGCATGGCACAGGCACTTTCGGCAAGCCCCCTTGTCATCCTAATCTCAGCCCTAATTAACATGCATGGAAGAAGATAAACCGGAGTTTGAGACAGCTTTTCCAGCAGCAGAATCTAGTGGAACTAGAGGACGACCTTGTCTCCTCTTAGATAAGCATTCAATAATTTTTTTTTCTTAAATAGTGTGAACTCTTTGAGGAACGGTTGTCTTGCTTTGAATTCGTTTGAATGGAGGATAATGCAGCATTTAATGTTGTGAATTTTTAATTCTAGGGTACCTTTACATTTCTGCATATTGTGTTAAAGTGCTTCAATAAAATAAATTAAGTGAGAAAAAATTGTATTGTTACTTTTTTATTCTGTAAACTTATTAAATTATACTGTTAAAATAATTCAATATTAAATCGGTGTAAAGCAATAACTTGCCCGGGGACTTAAAATTTTTGACTAGTATATGTAATTAATGCATATCACCTATTGCATATTCAAAGTTTATATCAATTTATCAACAACCTTCAATGATAAACGTGATGACTTCAGCTTTTCAACCGTCAGCTTCCGTACTTATGCATCGATATACCTTCATCACCTACATACAGAGTTTGTATAGCTTAGTTTATTCGATAAGCAAGCAAGAGAATTCTCTACCTATACACAATTTTTAAACAGAGGTAAATTATTTTAATATATATCAGGTGGACTTTAGAATATTGCATTATTACTCATAGGCTTGCCTAGTGTTGTATAGTGTTTTAAAGAGGCATCCAGTTGAAAATTTATAGCAAATGTTTTTTTGTTCATGCTATTTATTTATTTTTTTCGTTTATTTGATTTAATGATGCGATGCACATTGCACTTTGCATATAAACAAATGTTGTTTTTGCATTACTAGACGATCTAGCTAGATATTGTTGTATAATTGTGAGAAATAAAAATTGTAGTTTCTAGGTTATAGTGAAAAGCAATAATTTTTAAACGATTCTCTTCTGTTCTTTGGCTGACACAGTACTCATCTACAAGTATATGGCAATTTTAAAAAAGAAATGAATCCCTTATCATCATTTTATTTTTATTGAGATGAATATTAACACTATCTTCACTACAACATCATGCATTTTATATCAGGAATTTGCATACAAAATTAGAACAAATATGATTGCACCCATGAGAAAAGGGTGCTTATGACATTTTTGATAAAACAGAGAAATTACGTCATAAAGATATGACGTTACAGACTGACGGTGAACTTCGACTCAGATTTTTTTTTATTCACGTGTTTTGACGTTTGACGCATCCAGAGTTTTTATCGCTGTTTACAACGTGTAGAATTTATTTTTCCTTTGTAAATTAATTTAATTAATATTTGAATCTCCTAATCTACTAATTTTAATAGATATAAATAAAAAATTAGAACTGGTAATTTAACAAACATATATCTAATACCTATACATACATACGATGTAGTTTTCAGGTAGGCCTACATGGCATATATGTATAAAGAAGCTGTCGACAAGGTGTTTTTTCTGATAGAATAATAAACCTGTATACTTAAGATAAAAACATTTTATTTACATAATTTTACATAATTATTTATACCAGATTTAGAATACATGTTAGACAGGGTTTATTGTAGTGCAAAGGAAAATTGTCTTCCTTTTTTGAGATCCGCTCCACCACGATCAATATACATCACGATCGCGTCGATCACATGTAAACATTGATTCATCGGTGCATACTGCTTATACTTTTGTATATTGTTTGTACTAATGTTGAAACTTAACATACATCTTCCATGTTTTAACAAATCTAGCAAAAATGTGTAAGAACGACAGTCACCATATTTGTATTTTCTATAAATAAAACATAGGAGAGATAACTCTGATGTCAACAATCGATGTAACAGGGGTACCAGATAGGGAAATTCACAATTCAGCTGCATGTTCGCATGAATTTGCTCTCGGATTATAAAAGAGACCTTATATAACCAAATAAAAACACTTTTAATTGTTAGCATAATTATGATTTTTTTTAATAAGAAATATTGTTGTACTTTGGCAACAAGGTCTTGTTGAAAATTAAAGAAAAAAAAAAAGAAAAAAAAAACTATAAAAATGAAATTATTTTTTTCTTTCAAATCTCTTATCTATAGCTTTTTTGTGCATGAAATAATTCAATAATTTTTGTTATTATTATTGTTGTTAATTTTTATTATTATTTTTTTTAATTACCGTATCATTTATCATAATTAAATATGAAAGTTGTTTAGTCTTATTTTCTTGTTGCACACTGATCATGAAAAATTAAAAACAAGCAAAAACATCCGAATGTAAGAGAGAGAGAGGATGGAGGGGATGGAGGATATACTGAATTTATTTATCTAATTTTGAGAAATGTGAAACTCTATTGGAAAGGAAGAGCTATCAAACCAAACAAAATAAGAAAATACGGTAAAATGAAAGAAAAAACTCTTTTTTGTTCTCTTAACTACATGTATGGCTATTTATTTTCAAGATCTCCAAATTTGAAATACATGTACATGTAACTCTTTGGTACTTACGTATTGTTTTTCCCCTTGTATACATAGTTCAAATATTTTAAGCATTATCTGCAAATTAATCCCTACGGCCAATAAGAACTTTGTCTTTTACAAAAGCTCGATTAACATTGAATGTCTCTTTACAAATCAATTACCGGTATCATGCTCAATACCCAATTCATCGTTAGACGTATAATATCATTGCAGTTATCAGTGTGGAATATATTGTTTAACCTGCCATCAAATTATAGATAAATATTATTATATTAGCACATAATATTATTTTATTTGTTTTGATTGGTAAAAAAAATCTTTTAAAGTTCAGGATCAGGTTTTATTTTTACATATAAATGCTGACAGAAGATAAAAATCAATGCTAAAAAAAACTCGACATAAAACAGCAACAATATGCTTGCATTTTGTTTTGTTTTGGTCGCAGTGCAGGGGATGAGGCTGAAGTTGTCCTTCTATATTTCCTTAACATATTAGACTCTACAAGGCTTAGCATATCCAAGCTTCTGGCAACGGACCAGAATGGAATTCATACTCTGTAAAACTCATTTATGAAATAAATTTAAATTAAGAAACAAAATCATTAGAATGGAGGATGAATTTTCTAAGATGTTTACATCCCTACAATTTGACATATCAAAACTTAGCCAGTTCACAGACAATTTTCAGGAAATATATTATATAAAACTGTCATATTTTACTTACTGTACGTATTTTTGACATGAAAAAATACAATCATGTTATTAATTTCTATCCACACCTACCCAAAGAAAATCTATACATTAAACAGTGTGATTCATAAAAATTACAATATAGAGTTATCATTGATTTGTCTACTATATATTTTTTTATTAATGAGAAATAAAAATATCGAAGAAATTTTGTTCGTAATTCTTAATAAATTTATTCAAATGGCACCTGTGAAATTAAAACTTTGGAATGAAAAAAATATCGTGTTCATAAGAATTGTAGGTTTCTGACAATTAGATTTACTACCACCCCCCCCCCCCTCCTCACCAACACCCACATAATCCTACCAATGTTAATCCTTGATCTATCTACTAGTATTGTGTAAGTGTGTGTGGATCATAAATCATTCAATTGTTTATAAAAATTCCACCTTTTTGATTGGTAAATATTAAAACATTCTTTCTGCTAGACTGAAAAATATTTCGTGTATCCTTAATATTTTTCAAACAGCAGTGTCATTTTTTATCCTGTTCAGACAGAAAACCTTAAAGATGCAGTGAACTAACCGATTTTTTTTTTATTTACTGTCTATTGTATATAGTAATAACATGTTACCGCACTTCACAATTTTTCTGTCTTTATATAAAATTTAGGGAAAAAAGATCATATTTTTCACTTCACAGTAATATTTAGGTATAGGGTATATGCTAAGTACTTATTAATTGAAATTACTATTTCTGTTAATACTTAAATGATTTTTTTTTTGGAATGACCATCTTCAATACTTAGGGTACAGGTTTGCCAGACTGGCTGTGTAGAGGTATCATCCCCTGGTGCCCTTTGTATTCAAGAAGCACTAGTTTTATATATTAGAGTATTGCCATTACTACAAGATTTTTTTTTTAATTTACCTTATATCTATCATTTTTATTTAATTGTGTTTTCTTTTATCATTCGATGGTTTCTATGCTATTGATCCAGTGTGGTGATGTACTTCTCAATGTCAAACTTAATCACGTCATGTTACATTATCCTTGATATAGAATTGTAATCAATGTTATCATTTTGTAATAATTGTTCATGCCCCCCTTGGGCCCTTGATTGGTGAATAAACATAATATATAATACTGTTGTTTCATATGTAATTATTTAAAAATTAATTTTCACATATATGGTAACTTAAGATATATCGTTGTATGCCGAATTCAGGCAAAACAATTACATCTTGACCTATTGAGAGCAATGTTTAAATTAAAATAATTTTTTTTTTATAAATTCTACAGCTTATCAAATGACTCTTACATGGATTACTAATAAACATGGTTAATATTTTGTTTGAGAAAATCATTATTTAAAACAAAAACCTGAATGGATTTCACCCGCCGTTCAGGTCTCCCCCCGGTGTCATAGAAAAGTGAAATGTAAAACAAACACTCACTCATTATACTATACACCACTGATGAATCAATGATATATATAACTATTAAATGATTATTAATAATTAAAAGAGACAATGAGACAAAAATAATGTGCATGGGTAATTAATGTAAAATTATAGAAGAAAATCATTTTACGTTCACTCTGAAAACGCTTGACGTTGTTGAAAAACATGACGTCATTATGAACCTGTTAAAGTATCTTTGATATAAATGAAGAAAAACCCTACTTAGAGTAGACTTAGGACCATAAAAATTTATATTTGACAACTTCTAACTTTACTCTATCAATTTCCGTGAAAAACTCAAAATGCATAAAAAATGTCATAAGCACCCTTTTCTCATGGGCGCAATCATATAAGAAATAATACAGATCTGTAGTCAAGGTTTCTATACAAAGCATTTCTAATGTTTCCATACAATGAATACGACAACGCATAGTTGATTGATTGTATATTGTTTAACGTCCCTCTTGAGAATTTTTCACTCATATGGAGACGTCACCGATGCCGATGAAGGGCTTCAAATTTAGACCTATACTCGGCACTCAGGGCCATTGAGCAGTGAGGGTTCCTTATCGTGCCAACGCCTACCGTGACACGGGACCTACGTTTTTAAGGTCATATCCGAAAGACCCGTGACTTTCACTTCTAGTGCCGAGCGCTTGGCGAAGGAACAGTCACTATCTTTGTTTACGTCTTAGGTATGACGCGGCGCCGCGATCGAGAATCGAACCCGGGCCTCCCGATCACGAAGCGAACGCTCTACCACTAGGCCACCCTGACCGGTTCGACAACGCATAGTAATGATTTGTATAAAAAATATGGGAAAATGTACTTACAGCATCTTCGACCCATTTAAACCTCTATTGAAACGGAAGAAACAAGATCATCTTTTTCTTAAATTTATTCAAACCAAATAACAATATCCTTAAATGTTGTATACTCTCAGTGCTTTACATAGATATAGATACTTTTACAACTCATCTTGACATGGAAAGTTTGACCTTGAGTTAAAATCTGGAAGTGTTTTAGACTTGCTTTTTTGCAACATGATATTTTTTGAATTTCCTTTGAGCTTTGA